TTCCAGTGAGAAAATGGCACCTGGAGACTGATATCAGGATATTTGCCGATGCTATGGCGACCGACCAATCCGGAGCTAAAAACAAAGATGTAGGTCCTTTGCTTAGGGTCCCGTCAGGTTGTATACCTATGGTAAGACATGCAGGCTGTACAGGGGATGATTCCTTCGCCATGCTTTTCAAAGGTCCGTTCTTTTTCCACCAGGCCTTTTCCCTGCGGTTGATTCCCACAGTTTGAGTCTTCCTCAACGACCTGGTAACTCTTAATTGGTGGTTTGGATTGGCCAGTTCCTTTTGAAACCAACTGCCTTCTACAAAGGGGCTACTTGGTCCAACAGCTGAAATGCGAACGCAGGGAAGGAACATGCTCATTTGGCCAATGATTTCACTCACTCACTCACTCACTCACTCACCCACCCACCCACCCACCCACCCACCCACCCACCCACCCACCCACCCACCCACCCACCCACCCACCCACCCACCCACCCACTAACATCTAAACCAAACTAAACCACTTAGAGGGAAGCTCACTGGGCAGAGAAAAATGGGTCCAGCCAGTAGGAGTGCTTTGCATCTCTCGGCCGTTTTGAGCGGGTCGAGAGGCAATCCTTTAGGAGCCGCGGGACCTTGGCTGCCGGGCGGTTTTTTGCGGCGTCTCTTTGAGTTCCCCCCTTGTTGGCGCATGTATCCCCACCCCCTCAAAAATGGAATTGGGGGAGGGGGGTGACCTGGAATTCCATTTGTGGTCCCATTTTCCCTTTTATGGGAAGACTAGAATCACCTTCCTCCTGAAGGTAGGGGAGATGTGCATGTTCCAAAACCCCCCCCCCCCCCCGCCTAAAAAAGAAAGAACAGAGCGTTGTTCCTTGGTTCTACTGGGCAACTGAGAGTGCGCGGTGAAGCACTAGGCTGATGGGAGAAAGGTCGAATATTCTCGTGTGGTTCCCCTGAAAGTGAAAGTGCAGCACATGGTTCTCCGGGGGTGGCCTTAATTGGTGTTGAGAAAATGAACCTGGACCCTCAGAATACCCTTAAACAAGGGTTATTGCAACCCAAACTTAATCCTTCTTGCTATTAATAAACCTTTCCCGAACGATAAAACCCTGCCCCTAGCCGACCCCAATTTGGCAATACTTATTTTTTTCTACCCAATACTAAACCAATGCTAAACTCTTCTGAACCTTGATCCGTTTAGGGGGTCACCAAAGGGTTGCCTTGCGTGACAAGGCTTTCATTATTAGGTTCTCCATTTGGTTCCCTTGAGGGGGTTTCCCTTTGAAACAAGACAAGGGTGCCTTCCCTTTAAGAGCTCTTACTCGGAAATTGCATGTTGCGCACTTTTTCTGCAAATCAAAAGGGTCCCCCTTTCCAATTTGATGCAGTTTGAAGCAGTGTGGACGGGGGGGGGGGGACGGTCTATTATTAGGGAGAAAGGATTGTGAACTATTCTTTTTTATGGGTAGTTCTTTCGGGTCCAGGAAGAACTGGTGCCGAGAAAAAGAAGACATTTGGAGGAGCATGTCCTTTTCAGCATGAAGCTCAGCCTGAGAACGCCGCTGCTCGCTTGCCTTGGTCCTATGCCTTGCATGCTTAGGAGGTTTGACTGCAGAGCTGGCACCGGGACCTGGCTCGACCCTGCAGTTTTGAAGCCTCCCATGCGCCTGAACTCGGCTTGTTGGACCGACGAAGGCGAACGGGGGGCTTGAAGAAAGCAGGGCCCCTTCCGAATGCAGACCTTCAACCCGCGAGAGAGAGAGGACCGCTTTTGGCCCGCACACGCACAAACAGAGCACGATTTGCTCGCCGCGGGCAAGCTTCGAACCTCCCTTGAAAGGCTTCGAACAGTGCCATTCTACATCAGACAGCCGGGGATCGCCCCACAAAGGAGCAAAGATGAACAAGAGCCCAGCATGTTGACGAGTTGAATTGATTCTTTCCTATTTGTTTGCAGAGGGCACAATGGGAAGCCTCTCCACCAAACCACTAAATTATCGATTCTGGATTCCCCCTTGTGACCCTCACAGAGGCAGTTTAAAGCATGTGCTCGGAGAAGCCTTTTGGGGAGGGTTCTGAGCTTTTCCCCGGGCTTTTGCCATGGGAACGAATTAACTGCGGGCTTTTGGGGGGGACCCGTGCATTCAGAACAGTGAGTAACCAGAAGACACCGCCATTTGCAACCTGCGTAAGCATACCTGGTACCTTATTTGGGCAACTTGGTTGAAACATCCCTGCGCGTCTTCGAAGTGCCGATCAACAAAATGAAGACAGTAGCCACCAACATTGTCATCGGAGTCGTGCGAACTTCAGCAGCACACTGTCGTATCAGAGAAGGGTAGGGCTAGAACTACCTAGAGTCTCCGTGACCCTTAAAAATGGGGTCATGACATGTCATGACCCAAATCTTTATTTTGGGTCATGACCAACCATGTCTTGAGTGTCATGGGGACTCCAGATAGGTTATCCCTTGTAGTTGGCAAGGGCTACGATCCACTTCCAAACCTCCCAAAGTTTGGGACAGAGATCTCGGGTCTACCCCAAAAACACCCAGAGAGGGAGCTCGTCCCTGGAGAGGGAACGATTCGGGCCGTTTGGCCAAACTGATTTCAGCGAGGCCAGGCCTGAGCTGACGCTTTAGGATAAAGTGGATGGGAAAGAAGCCGCCATTTGTGGCAAGCCAGACCCTGCCAGAAACTCGACCTTTTGATCTTCGACTTTGGTTCTTGGGAACCCCACGTGCTCCAGTCTAAAGAAAGCATGTCGCAGGGAGTGATGCACGAAAAACAAAAACAGCCCACCCTCAGAGCAATGTATGAAAGGGTTGCGTGCCAAGAAAGAAACCTTTCAACCACAGTACATTCGCAGAATGTGGGCACAAGGGAATTCAGCATAGGGGCGGCAGGTGGCTGTGCCTTTGTCAGAAATGGCCCGGTCACGGCTACGACTTCAGCCGTTCCCGCTGCACAAAAAGAAAAGGCAGCATTCTCCACAGGGGGGAACCGCAATTGTCGGGACTGACTCAATTTCCCATGTCCTCTGGCGGAATCGCGAAGTGGCTCACACGGGTCCTAAAATGTGTGAGCACTCTCAAGGAAAACGCATGCAACAGTTACGTCGTGACAGTTGAGTTGGCAAACTTTGAAGGTTTGGGTCGGTGCTTTCATCGCCTCAGCTTAGGCGCAAGACGTGTTGACTACCTCAATGCATATTCTCATAGGGTCACGCCTTCGGGACTCTTGATTTGATGGGCACGTAGGAGCTTCCTATGGAAGTCATGTGACTGGATTCAACAACCGTACTACAGGAGGCCACAGCAACCACAGAAGCGGTCAGCATGCAAATGTAGGAATCGGCTCGGTCGCACGCAGTAAACACACAAATTCAAACTGAATTCCTAGGTCTTTCCAGTCTCCGAATTATTTAGGCAATATCATTCTTTTCGAGTAAGGAATTGTGTGCGACCTTTACCTATGAAGGTTCCGAGGGCATTCCCAACGTAAAGAGAGTTTGGAGCAACACATATATGTTTTGTTTCCGTCGCTATCACGGAAAGTGTTTTTTATTGCCTAGCCCTAGCACAGGGCTAACCCTGGCAGGTGGTTGGTTGGTTGGTGGGTGGGTGGGCGGGTGGTGGCGGCTCGGTGGGACAAAGGTTTGCGGGTGTGTGTCCGTTTAGCGTAGGTTCAGGCCCGGCATCGTTTTAGCATCCTCAGCATCGTTTGCAACATCCTCAGCATCACCAGGCACAGTGCTTTGGTATTTAAGCTGGGTTTAGGTTTGTTCCAGGTTGGCTCAGGGTTGGCTCCGGGGGGGTTCCAGGCCTGTTGAGAGCAAATTTGGGAGCTTGAGGTATATGGTTTAGTGCTGGTTTGGTGGGGCTTCTTGGGGTTGGTCTCGGGGGGGTTTAGGGCTGGCGGGTGGGTTTAACATTGGCTTCGGCCATGGTTGTGCTTAAGCCCAGTTGGGTGGTTTAAGGTAGGTGGGCTTAAGCACAACCATGGCCGAAGCCAATGTTAAACCCACCCGCCAGCCCTAAACCCCCCCGAGACCAACCCCAAGAAGCCCCACCAAACCAGCACTAAACCATATACCTCAAGCTCCCAAATTTGCTCTCAACAGGCCTGGAACCCCCCCGGAGCCAACCCTGAGCCAACCTGGAACAAACCTAAACCCAGCTTAAATACCAAAGCCCTGTGCCTGGTGATGCTGAGGATGTTGAAAACGATGCTGAGGATGCTAAAACGATGCCGGTCCGTTAGTGTCTCCTTTCGTGCACGCCAAGCTGTGCCAGGGTTAGGCCAATGCCAGGTCTATGCAAATAAAAAACACCTCAGCCCGCTCTCACGATTCAGGTAACCCTTGATTTGTGGTTTGGTGGTGGTGGGGGGGGTTATTTAATCCACTAAAGGTTTTCGACTTTGGCAGGGGATCTGAGAACAGCCCAGTTTTCTTTGTTTCCCCCTTACTTGTGGTTTGGATTCGTGGTTTGGATTTGGATTTGAACACCTGGTTCTTGTAGAGGGGTAAATGCGCAACCATCCCTAAGCGCCTCTCAATTCTCAGCTCAAAATTGGAGTTGATTGGCATTAGTTTTGGCCCATGTAACTGGCTCACTTGGGTGCTTGGGTGTTCGGAGAGGGTAGTAAGTTGTTGGTAACCTACAGGTTGCAACCCACTTGTAAGTCACCCTAAGTGGAGTTAACCCTGTTGTGAGTGGGTTACCCAAGTGGCCAACCGCTTACTATCTTGACCGGACATCCAAGCGTCAAACGAGCTCATGGCCAAGGTGGGGATTCTTTGCTCGTTTGTAGCTCGATGGTCATTTGCCTAGGTTCTTGGAGAAAGCTGCAAAGGATGCATGGACAAGCCAATTCACGCCGTCAAGCAAAGATTTGGCTGGTTGCCGTGAACGCGTCCGGCAGGCAGGCAGGCAGCGAGCATCGAGCATCGAGCATCTCGGGGTGCTCGAGCCAAGAGTTCGCTGCAAGAGCGTGGGGCTTCAATGGCTGCGGCCGGGGATCGGCTGGCCACAGACGAGGCCGGCATGCAATTGGCGAGAGATCCGCGGCAAGCCAGGCCGATGGACGATTGTTGGGCTGGCAAGAGGTCCACCTAAGCGTGGAGGATTTGGGTGCTGAATAGCCCGTAGCTCGTTTCTCTTCCAAGGGATTCTCAAAGGGACGCTACGCACCCGTTTGGTCTTGCAGGGATCTTGATCAAACCTTGCCCGCCTATTTAACATCTTTTTTTAAAGCTCTTTGCGCATCGGTTTTGCTTTCGAGAAAACTGTTTACCTTCGGAGAGCAAGTATTGCTCAAGATCCCTAGACCAAACGGCTGTGTGTGTGTGTGGTTTAAACAGTTTTTGATTCGGGGAAGACCGAGGTAATACTTTGTTGCATTTTGCTTGGCAGTTAGGACTTTAACTTTTTGCCAACTCATGGGTTTTCCGAATTAAACCACTAAAAGTTAGTCACTTTGGGCAGGGGTGCAGAAAGCAACCGAGGTAGATGAAATTGGGGACCCCTCCTACTCCCCCTGCCCCTGGTAGGGATGAAGCCAGGCCCAGACCGCGAGGCAAAGATTGACCCGGGGGCGACGGCAAGCGCGAGAGCCAAGGAGCTCGGGAGGACCTCCACTACCAAGGTTTCTTGGTTTCCATTTGCTGAAGAAAGAACCCCTACGGAACTTTAAGGAACCCTAAGGAACCCTAAGGGATCCTAATGAACCCTAAGCAACCCTAAGGACCCCTAAGGAACTGTAAGGAATTGAAAGGAACTGTAAGGGACCCTAAGGAACCCTAAAAAAACGTACGGAACCCTAAGGAACCCTTGACCCGAAGAAGCCCTCTGCAACCCTGAGAGGAACCCTCAACTTCCATTTGCTGAAATTGTTCATTTCGCCCGTTGGGTTCAAAGAGAATCTATTTCAGTACCGGACCCAATTTTTTCAGGGACCGAGCGAGCAAGTGGATTTTTGTTCCTTCGGCCAAAATCCACAATCAAATCGAGTTTAATCGAAACTAGATGTAGTTTGTCGACATGTACATTTGTGTATGTATGCCTCTCGTTATTTATTTGCTTATGTATTTGTATAGTTGTTTATGTATTCATTCATTCTGTGATGTCAGTCCTTTCTTATTTAGCTTTTTGGTATGTCAGTCTTTCGTTGTCTATACTGTTTTCCTTATGTATTGTGTTTCTTTTTTATGTAGTCCTTTGTTATTTTATTGCTTCAGTTGGTTCTTTATTTCAAACAGGGTTTTTTTCTTTTCTCTTCCTTGACTTGTTCAGCCTTTCTGTCGTTCTGTGTCTCTTTGTTTAAGTTTGCTTTTGTCTACAGGAGGTATCTATATGTTGTATATCTAGTGCTGCAGTTATTCTGTGTATCGATTATGTATTGATTCCTTCCTTCCGTCGGTCCTTCCTTCCGTCAATCGTTCAGGTATGTGCTTTATTAATTAATCTATCTATCTTTATCTACATCTGTATCTACATGTACATGCATATCTATCTATATCCATATCCATATATCTATATCTAGCTATATATGTATGTATTTATCTATCTGCCAAATCTAATCTAGCCGAATCCAATCCAATCAACCAATCTATTTACCTACCTCGATGGCTGTTTGTCTATCAATTGATCGATCTATCTGTCTAGCTCTATATCTATCTACCTAACCTACCTAGCTGTCTGTCCCATCTCACCTAACCTAACGTAATCTAATCTATCATCTATCTATGTATCTATGTTACTTTATCTATGTGATTGTTCTACTGTTTCTATTCTATACCATTGTATCCTGTTCAAGCCCTAATCTAATTTGGCCTAATCTAGTCTAGTCCAAGCTAATATTGCTATCTATTCATTGAGTGCGCTACTGTTGTTTTCCATTGTTGTTTGCTTGTTCTTTGTTTTAATTGTTCATGTGCTGAACAAGCAAAAAGTCAATAGGTCACTGCGCCTTGAAGGGACAACATCCTTCCAGTCGCTCTCCGATTTTCCACTGCCTCGGCCCACGGCAAGCGAGGGCCATGCACTGCTTGCATCCGGGCAAGGGACGGGCAAATGGCCCGGCGAAGCGGGGTTTTTGGGTCACCAGTCACCAGGTGTCCTTTTTGTCTTTAGCTGGAAGCTTTGGTTGGTCTGTGCCCAAGTAAGAATTGGTGGGTTGCAGTTTTCAGGGAGGGTTCCGGAAGGCTTCCGAGGCGGGGATACCTCCCGGGCTGGGGGTTTATCAACTTCTTGGGGGTGTGGTGGGTTGGGGATTTTCACCTCTGGTTGTTGTGGATAAAGGGGAAGCCACCCCCTTCACCAAACCACGAGGGAAACCGAACCATGGGCCTCTTTTAAGACTGTTCATTATCATTTTGTCCCTTTGCAGAACGGCCCCCAAAGAGGTGAACCCAGTACTTGGGGTTACTGGGACGCGGCAGGATGGCTTGCCTTTTTCAACAAACACGCCTGGTCAGGGCTCCAGAAAAAAAAAAAAAAAAACGACACACATTTTGCAACCATTTGAACCATGGCTGGCTTTTCCAACACCATTTACAAGCTGCAATCTTCAGGTGTATTCTCTGCATCCGGATCCCTGTTGGTGCGCTGTGCCAGGCTGAACTTTGCGGCTCCGAGTCGAGCAGATATGGATTGAAAAGGGTTCGAAGTCTTTTTGCACCAGGGTTTTGCTGTTTGAATAGTTGTGTTTTTTTCTCTTCACCCAAAGAATCTCTGGAAGGGGCCAAGTTACACAAGTTGCAACCCACCTATGGAGGGGAAGGTGTTTCGCAGTCGCGGGGGCAACCCAAATTCGCCGGCCACTGCCTGACCATGGCCTTGCTGCACTTATTTAATTCCCGCTCCGCAAGAGCTTCCATAGCTCGGAGGGCAAGATCTTGGGCGCCACTTTTATCACGCACAGTGCGGGGTTGTGGGGTGCAGATGGCTTACCTCTTAAAAACACAACTTTCCAACTTTTTGGGGGTAACATGGGCTATATGTCTGTAAAAGATGAACTTTTTCAGGGCTTGGAGTTTTAAGGGGTAAGGATGGGGTCAGATAGAAACAAGCATGGTGTTGTCCAGATGGTTCGTTTCGAGGTGATTTCCGCGCACATGGGTGGGGCATGGCACGTTTACGATTTGGAAAGCGAGGCCCTGCAACTCGGCGACAAAGACTCAATCGAATAGACCTTGGGTCTGTTTTTGCGTAAGAAAAGCGATCCGCGTGCTGGAGGGCTTTGGTATGGGATGGTTTCCACTGCTTAAGCGCTGCCAGTGGTTTGGCTGGGATATGCAGCCACTGGATGGGTCAAAATTAAGCCGCCAGGATATGGACGGCAGGTTTTAGCCCGTTCCATTGACCGCAGCCCATTTTGGAGTGACCCAATTGTTGACCCCAAATCCATATAACCTAAATCGCGTTTTCCTGGCCATGGTTGGGGGGAGGGAGCGTACTGGCAACCGGAAAGCTACAATGCTTTCTCCCTGGTGTTCTTCCATTTGCTGAAGTGAATGTGTTTTATTTCCCCCTGGCGGATTTTACGGGCGCTACTGGACATATGTTTAATTTGTCCAGCACACCAGAACGCAATTGGAGGTTTTGGTTTGCCAAGTGCAAAAAAGTCCACGAATGTGAACCTCGGTTATTAACGAGAAGGAACGTACCAATCAGGGCTGGTTCATTTTTCTTTCAGTAAGGAAATGGGACCTACTGTGGATGAACAAAATCCACTTCGCACCACCTAAGAAACCCTGAAATGTTGATTGTCCTGGTAAATACCTTAAACAATGGTGTCAGCCATCGTTGCTTAGGTTGTGCGAAGTGGATTGCATCCATCCACAGTAACTTCGTTTTTTTTTTTTTTACTGGGGTCCTACAGATGAATTTCCATTGGAAGGTGTCCACCTCTTAGGAACGTTTTTTTTTTTTTTTTTTTTTTTTTTTTCAGGCAACAAGCACTTGACGTTGAAGAGTGTGGGGTGCTGATTAGTTATTTGTGTTTGTGCTTGCTTGGCTTTCAGGGTAGCAACCATGGGTGGGCACTAGCAAGGCTTTAGAATTTCAGTGATGACGTAATCATGGAGGTCCGAATCCCACTTTGGCATCACAGAAATCTCAGAGGGCGGTTTTTTTTTGCCACCCCCCACCCCAGAACAAGTGTTTGTTTGCGGGGGACGGGGAATCTATTCGAGTAGAAAGGTGGGCCGGGACCTCGAGCAGAGACCTGGAGATGATGTTAGACATTGGTATTACCCTCCTCCCAGCGAACATGGTTTGGTGCACAGACCCCGGTAGAAAGAAGGCCCTTCCCTCTTGGGGATAGGGCCTTCTTGCACTTCCATGTTCGTTGGGAGGCTACACACAATCGTTTTAGGGCTCAGGTTGGGCCTTGGTTACAAAGCGAATCAGACAGGAAAAAGCAACCACACTTTTGGGGGGGGATCCCGCATTTCAGAGACACATCTTTGTCTAGGTTGGCAGACGCAGACTTTTGCCCCTCCACTTCATGGCCGATTTTTCCACTCCATGGCCGCCCGAGCCCTAAGTTTGATAGGGTGCCCCGTTTGATATGGGCCATTCGCAGCTGGGGAGATTCCAAAGGCAGCCAGGCACGTCTAAGATTCCATGTTGACAGCCCTTGCTTGATGGGCTGTCCCCTTTCAGCCATAGGTGTCCTGTTTGGTTGTTTTGCTAGAAACATAGATGGCCCTGGTTTACCTGGTGGTTTAATCATCTACCAGGGCCATCTATTTCCCCTAAAAGGACACCTATGCTTTCAGGGCTGCGCTGGGTGATGGTAGGTTGGATTTTTTCTTTTTTTGAGGCTCGGTACCTTTTCTACGTGGTGTTAAAGGGCGGCCAGAAGGCGAACAGAACACCGTGTTGGCGCGTCCGATTGATACAAAAGATTGACCACACGAGATGGATCAAAAGTAAACTTTCCAACCCTTGGGTTTTAGATGGGTTTGATAAGAACTCATTTGCCAGGGACACATCCAGCTTTCTTCAAAAGGCCACCTATGCTTTGGTGCATTTTACTTGGATGTTGGGACTTTAGCTTTTTGCCAACTAATGGCTTTTCCGCATTAAACCACTAAAAGTTAGTCACTTTTAGCAGGGGAGCAGATTTCGCAACCGAGTATGGTTGGACATTCAGCGAGCTTTGCTCGCTCGCTCAAGGCCAGCCTTGCGCAGCCGGGGAAAACCGCGCCCGGCGCCGAGGGCTTCCCAAAAAGCGAGAGAAGTCGAGGCCCTGAACAGGGCTCCTTAAAAGAAATTCATGTTGCAACCATTTGAAACATGTGGCTTTTCCACCAAAATAAAATTGGAACCCACCATTTACAAGGCATTTTGCAGCCATTTGAATCATGGCTGGCTGTTCCACCAAAATAAAGTTGGAACCCGCCATTTACAAGGCATTTTGCAGCCACTTGAATCATGGCTGGCTTTTTCAACACCAAAATACAGTTGGAACCCACCATTTACAAGGCATTTTGCAGCCATTTGAATCATGGCTGGCTTTTCCACCAAAATAAAGTTGGAACCCGCCATTTACAAGGCATTTTGCAGCCACTTGAATCATGGCTGGCTTTTTCAACACCAAAATAAAGTTGGAACCCACCATTTACAATGCATTTTGCAGCCACTTGAATCATGGCTGGCTTTTTCAACACCAAAATAAAGTTGGAACCCGCCATTTACAAGTTGCAATGTTCAGGTGTAGAATGTAAGGATCCCTGCTGAATGGTGGTCAGAAGTGGTGGTGAGGGTTGTGAAGATTCACTCCAAACGAGTTCATGGACTTGAGTAACTTTTTTTGCAGGGTTGTCGGGCTTTATCCAACCACTGTGATACAAGGATTCGAATCTCCCCCGTTAAATCGGGGGGGGGGTTCGTGTTTGGGGTCCCTTGTTGTTGTACCACAGATTCGTGGGTTCCATTTCCCACAGCCCTGGGCTCTGGACTCTGTTTCTGAAGGCACCACTTTTGATTTGTCAAGAGCAGCTCCTTGGGGATTTACTTGGAATTGGGAGACTGTGAAAATTGCGGGGTTTTCCCGCTTCTTGGAATTGGGAGAGGGTGCAACTGGCGATCTCGGTTTCTATGTTCGGTTGGGAAGGAATTGAACAAAAGCTGGGTGAACGTTTGGTACCATCCTCTCCTTTTGCCCTACTAGGAATGATGATGCTAGTAATAACTTACCTCTTAAAAACACAACTTTTCTCAACTTTTTGGGTAACATGGGCTATATGCCTGTAAAAGATGAAAACTTCCCCAGGGCTTGGAGTTTTAAGGGGTAAGAGGACCTCCTCGGCTTTGCGGTTGAACGGTGAAGAATGGAATTGGGGCTCCTCCCCTCCTCCCCTCCGCCTGAAGTTGCGCCCCTTTGCGTTTCAGAATGTGTATTACTCACTTCCTGAGTTCATGGACTTTAAACGTTTTGGGAAGGCCATTTTGGTGGTAAATAACAAGTTCAATCTTTTTTTTGCCAACTCACTCGGGAAGTGAGATTATGTTCCAATTATGATCCTTTGGTTCTAAAGGGAATCTATCACTGTCACCTAACCCCCTATTGGTGGTCACGTGGCACATGAAGGTTGCTGTGGAAGCTGCCGATTTGGAGTTGCCAGCGTTTGTGAGTGGCCAAGGGGCTCCCCGGGGCTCCCCAACGGGCAATGGACATTGGAAGATCCAACTTGTCGATTTCGAAGGCCCCTCTTTGGCCCATCGTCATGGCCTGCTGGGTTTGGGCCACGGGGAATGTCTTGCCCCATGATTTCTGGTGAGCCTTCTAGGGATCCTTCTCTTCGTCCAAATGGGCACAACTTCCCGCGGAATCTGAGAGGCTGCCCTAAAATCACCAGAAAGAGATGCCCCCTACTCCAAATACCCGCTTCTTTCAGGGTATTTTTTGGAAAACCGATCGGTTTTCCAGGGCAAATACCAAACCTTTTTGAGAGGGTCGACATCATACCCTGTTTTAGAGGGTCGACATCATACCCTGTTTTAGAGGGTCGACATCATAGCAACTGAAAAACGTCCGGGTATTGGTAGGGGCTGAGCCAGCTGTACCAAAGTGGGTGCCCTCCAAACAGATTTCCCCTCTTCAAACGAACTGCCCGCCCACGTTTTTGAGGCCAGACGCGAGCTCGAGCGGGGCCCCAGAGCGGCTCTCAGCTCAGCTCCGGCGAGTCCCAGAGTTTCCGGGGCGACTTGAGCGCAGCAAGGGGGCTCCCTTTCTGAAAAAGAATGCGGAGTAAGACCAGGGGGATAGTTTGCCTTCTGACTTCCATTTGAGCCACGTCCTAAACGTGTCATGATTTGCCATGTCGTATCATTATGCTTACTCCACCAGCTTACGCCACCTTACGCGTGTGGAGTTTTTGCTTGCGCGACACATTTGGAGGTTTTGCTTACGCCGCCAGCTTACGCCACCTTACGCACGTGGAGCTTTTCCTTACGCGCTGGTCGATATGACATGACTCTTACTAAACATGTACACGGAGGTTTTGGACGCTGCTCCTTTGCCGAAATGAAGATTGTGTATGTCTCCTGTCTTAAGAGGAGCAAGCAAACGGCTGAGCCATCTGGCTTGGCATACTGTAGCCAGTGGCTTAAAATCAATCACAAGCCAATGGTGTTTTTGCTCGTGCAGATGTCGCATTCGGGACAGCCGATGTTGGGCTCCTTAGATATTGGGCTGCTTAAAAGATACATTTGCAATATGGCTTTTTCAACACCAAGATAAAGTTGGAAACCACCATTTATAAGTTGCAATGTTCAGGTGTAGAATGCATCCGGATCCCTGTTTGATACAAATTGAAACAGTCGACCTCAAGGCCCAGGAACATTTGAGCCACGTGCTCAAAACCTGGGGATTGACGAAGGTTAGTAAGGGCCAGTCCCAGCCAGAAAAAATAGTTGCGGATATCCGCCTTCTTACTTCTTGAAGCATGGTTCTGGGATTACGACCATTTTACTACCGGTTTTGATTATGACTCATTTTGTGGGCCCGGGGTAAGTGGAAGTATGGAGACACAAATTGGCCATTTGAAGTTCCATGACCTTAGAATTGAGTGGACAATGGGTGGGCGTACCTTCAAAATGGGACACCTCCCCATCAAAGTCAACCATGGGGTCATGAGCCTTGGGTTCCCATGTTGGGGAGGAAAATTGTTTGAAGGCTTACATGCACAATTAGGCGCCTAATATCAAAAAAGTGGTCTGTTGCTGAGTTCTGAAAATTACTTCAGAGCCTCCGGGCAACAAAAATGAAGCCGCCATTTTTTGCCCACACTTCCTCGTGCCCAAGGGCTTTTCGAGCGCGGAGCCTTTTCTCCAGTTCACCGGCACCATTGTTTTTTGTGTCCCCCTGTTTTGTGTGATTCAAGAACGATTATTGGTAGGGCCTAGGGGTCAACGTTGCAACTTCGGATTCATCCAAGTTGCAACTTTGACCCCGCACATTTTGTATCAGTCCTTTGGAGGCTTTCCACTTGAAGGTTTGCCAGGAAACACGGAGCGCCTTCTCCTCGAACCCGCCGCCGTCTCGATGGCCCAGCGAAAGCTGCGGGTCAATCCCCCGCCTGAAAAGTCTCGGGGATGCAGTGCCAAGGATGCAGTGAGTAGGTCCAAGGGAGGGGGAGGGAGGGAGGGAGGGAGGGAGGGAGGGAGGGAGGGAGGGAGGCAGGGAGGCAGGGAGGCAGGGAGGCAGGGAGGCAGGGAGGCAGGGAGGGAAGGGAGGGAAGGGAGGGAGGGAGGGAGGGAGGGGGTTCACATTTGTTTGCCCTGTTGGTTTTAAAGGGAATCTATCACTATTGAACAAATGTTTATTTTTGATTGGGGGCTTAAGGAAATGGAAGTGAAGGTGGGCGTCATTGTGTTTCCTTTTGGTTTTAGAGGGAAGTGACTGGGCTTAGCAAAAAACACAATTTACTCAGTCCCCCGCTTTTTTGGTTGGAAAACAGGTGGGGGGATTGGGCAGTCCCTCCATGCCCTTCCCAAGTGAAACATGGCAGTCACCCGGGGACCCTCATATCCCCGAATCCACTGTCAGTAGTTGAGGGGAAGTGCCCCAAAGGGAGCGTCGCTTAACGAGAAGGCACCAAGGGGCTCCGCGCAGGATTGGGACCCCAAGAGGGCCCCTGTGCCCTTCCTACCCCCCAGCGACATGGTCTTCGACATCATGTTCTTCCGGCATCTTTTCAATGAGCGCCTCGGATTCTTGGGGATTATTGGATTCGGTTCCATCGAGCCTGCAAATGGCGATCGAGCGGATCGAGCAGAGTCTCGTTTTGGGTTAATATAAGGGGAATCGATCACTACTGGACATATGTGGTTTTCCTCCAGGCCACATAACATATTCGCACATTTTGAAATCTAACTCAATGAAGTACTCCACTTGCAACGCGGCAAGGGCATTTCCACCGGATCTCTGACCTTTAATTTTTCCCCCTTCCAGCCCCCTTCCAGCCCCCTTCCAGACCCCCCCCCCCAACAACGGTTTTTTGTTCATGCGCGAAGTGTTCAGGTAGACTCCAAAAAAAGCGGTGGTTGGGATTGATCGGGAGCTGCTGGTCCAAACCTTCGCCCTCTCAGCGCACGCATACGCATCTCCCGAAAGGCGATTTGTGGGGGGAGGGGCTATCGGTCTCGATTCACTGTGCTTAGTGCGGGTTTGTGGCATTTGGGGTTGATCAACAATCATTTGCTCAAGTGTTTTTTCCTTGCTGGTTTTAAAGGGAATCTATCACTACCGGAAATATGCTGCTATCACTACCGGAAATATGCTGCATTTTTTCCAGGGGGCTTAAGCAAATGGAAGTCAGTATTCCATTTAGGGCCCCCAACTGACCAGGGGTGACTTTTCCCATGTGGGACATATCAGCTTTCTAGTGGCTTCCCCAACGTTCATCCCACGTAAGGGATCGTTTTTTGGACTGTGCCTAGGTCAAAGTGAGTTGCTGGGGTCATTGCTATGTACTCTCCCACTTCAGGGGTGACTTTGATGGCAAATTGTTTTGCATGAACTGCCCAGTGGAAGCAGAGCACCGATATGGTTTGCAAGGCTTCTGGGTCCAGTCAAGTGTTTGTTGTTTCCGCTTTCGCGTCGTTCTGTGCCCCCCTTTGAACGTCAAGCCTGTGATTCTGTCAGGGGGAGGTCCCTGCAAGGCTGGCTCTCAATGATCGTGTGAACGTGCAGTACCAGGGTGCCTTTGCTCGGGCCTTTTCCTACCGGTTCAGATTGCGTTGCAAAAACTCCCGTTGCGCATTCAGGTTCCTTAGTGGTGGCATTGAGTGTTAGTCCAACAACTAACACGGAACCTGACGTTCAGGGGTCCTGGACCAGGGACCCTGTCAGGTTCCGTGCCAATGGTGTCTTTCGCCTCGCCTCGCCTAGGCTGGCCAAGCGCTGCGGACGTCGTTATGTGCCCCTGGTGGCCCTGCGGAACGTCTCCGCCAGGCCGGGGGGTGGGAGCGTCCGGATTTGTTTTTGCTGGACGGCATGGTTCTTAAGCTCTACCCTAATTACTCCAAATACCCGCCTTTTTTCAGGGTGTTTTTGATGGACAACCCGGTTTTCCAGGGTAAATACCTCCTTTTTTAGTAGAGGGTCGACATCATACACTGAAAAAAGTGGGTATTGGGTGTAGGGGGTATCCATACTATAGATGGACGAAATCCTGCACATCCACTATATGAATAGGTGGGATATTATCGGAGAGATGTGTTGCAGTAGAACACATGTGTTTCCCCGCGGTCTGGGACAAACAATCAAATTCTATTAATAATAGGGGGTGTTCCCCCTCCAAAAGCGGTCTCACTCCCCACCACAAGGTGACACTCCGAATGAAATCAACCAGGGGGTTGTGGGAAACAATTTTCCCTCGAAAAGAAGAGGCTTAAATCCAAACCCAAGATATGTGATTTCTTGTGTTCAGATAGGTTTCTGGAATGCAACCCATCCCCTCAAACAAGTTGCATTGAACCCCTGCGCAGGGAAAAACAAAGCTCCTGGTTGATTGTTGCGATCGGTGTCCAACTCCTTTTAGGCATCCATTTCACCTTTGGGGGAAAGCATGGTTGTTGTTGGGAAACATTTTGCCCATTTTTGCTTGTGGTGGTTTAGTGGTTGAAATCCCCTTCCACTTAACTCCGCTAAAATTTGAAATAATGTTTGCTCCCCAAACCCAACGTCACCCAAGGAAAGCGCCTAGAAATGGGGATGGATGGATTTTATGTTCACTCGGTCAACATTCTCGTGTTTCCTCAGCCCAAGGGCTGTAGACCCCCGAGGGGTCTTTCACCAAGTCAGGGAGTCAGTCATGTGGATGGTTGCGAAATCCATTTCGCACCGATGAGAAACCCCTGAAAAATGTTGATAATGTTGAGATTCTCCTGGTAAAACCCAAGAAGCGTTATGGCATCAACCATGGTTTCTTAGGTGCGAAGTGGAAATCGCAACCATCCACAGGCGAGGCAAGCCTTGGTTGGAATCGCTCAGATGGCTAAGTCTTGGTTAAGGTTTCTAGGTCCCCAGCTAGGTGCCCCTTACCTTGTCTTGGCTGGGAGGGTTCGGGACACTACTAAAATAGACAAAACCGCAAAAAGAAAGGGTACCAACTTATTCTAACCTCTCAAATCTGGAAAGGGTACCCTTATTCTATAACCTCTAAAATCTGGAGGACCTAGGTTTGGGGTTGAACTGTGTCCTGAAATGTGGTTGAATTGCAATCATAGTTGCAGGGTGTCTTAGGTGGTGAAGGATTTGGTCCATCCACAGTATCTTGGCGTGGCATGGTCGCTCCGAATCTGAAACGGTACCGACAAACACCACCTAGGTCCCCGAGCAGTGCCCTTCTCTCCCCTTTTTGGGTTGGGAGGGTTCCCCACTAAAATAGACAACTGAAAAAAGTAGTACCAACTTATTCTAACCTCTCTACTGGAGGACCTGGCAGGTTTCCACCGTTTTTTTTTTTTTTTTGCGACGCCAATCCTCCATAAATTTGCTTAAGAATATATGTTTGTTTATTTTTCTCCCTTGTTGGGTTTAAACGGAATTCATCACTGCTGAAGATATTTTCTCTTTTTCCTGGGGCCGAAAAACCAAATGGAAGATTCGCAGGATGGTGGAGGTCATGCAGCTGGGGGACCCCATGCGGGTGAACTTCTTCGGAAGCCTGGCGAAGCGGCAGTGCGGCTTCGGCGGGCAGAGAAAACTGGAAGTTTGGCTTGCGGGGCAAGCCACGCCCGTGTAATGTTACATGTTGCGATCGGTGTCCAATTCCTTTTAGGCATCCATTTCACTTTTGGGGGAAAGCATGTTTGTTGTTGGGAAACAGTTTGCATTTTTGCTTATTGCGGTGTAGTGGTTGGAATCTAACCACTTAACTTAACTGCTAAGATTTGATTTTTTGCTCCCGTTCCGACGTCAACCAAGGTTAACCCCGAGGATGAATAAACCCCTGCTTGATTTTGATCGGGGGGTGAGTCCCCCTTTTAGTGGTGATTCAGACCACTTTTGGAGGGAACAGCCCCCCGAAAAATGGGACGGGTGTATTAATCCTGTAAACCTAGAGTCTCCATGACTCTTTGAAAATGGGGTCATGACCCAAAAGATAACTCCATTTTGAAAGGGTGATGGAGAATACAGGTGCTTGAATGCCATTGGGTTGGATCTTCAACCTCGAATCATGGGGCCTTATTAGGGGCTTTATAAGGGCTTATTTGGGCTCCCCCCCCCTCCCCTCCCTCCCCCCCAGCCCCCAGAATCGAACTGTTCGGTTTCGTTTGGGGGGGATCTTGAACCCGAACAACCAGATGGAGAATGATGATTTGAGTCAAGTCCATTCACCTGGTTAAGTTTTCGCCTTTTTAGGCACGGGATTTCTTGCAAGTAGAGGTTTGGGGCTGGACAAGGATGGGTCGCATGTGGAAGGACTCTTTGTGAGGCACGTGAGCCACCATTCTGTTGTTTTTTGGAGCTCGCCAATTAGATACCATCCCCCCCCTGAGAAAGGGTACTTTGGTAAACCTGAGGTTTCCCTAGCTAGGTTTCCCTTAGCTTTTTGAGTCACCGTTTTCACCTGGCGAAGCGACTCGAAAGACCTTTCGATGTTTTTTCGTCTCAGCTCTGAAACGTGAGGTTTTGCGATTTCCGGGTCACCTCTTCTCGGGCAACTGAGGTTTGGGTTGCCTTTTCTTGGGTTCAAGGATGGAGCTTCAGTGTGGCGTACAAAAACTCAAAAGAACTCGGTCGAATGGGAACCAGCCGGGTCTCTAGGATACAGTTTGGGGTCCAAGAAAATTTGGAGCTGATCTAGGGCGATCCTTGTAAAGTAGGTGATTTTGGATGAAGTATCCAACCCCAACTCTCCTTTTTGACCGCTATTTTACCTGTTGGCTAAGGGGCGCTGGACACAGGTTGTGCGTTGAACAAACTGACGGTACCAAGGATTGAGGCAGTCATTGATTTCACATCCGGGTGCGCTTTTCAGCTTGGTCCAAAGGGAAACCAACAGGAAAATCAATGCCTTTGCTTGGTGTTCTAGTACTTGGACACATCTGGTGCCATGGCCACAACCTCTCCAGTGGACCAAGCGCTTTGTGTGGTAAGCAGCTTGTTTGGGATGTGCCCTTGTACATCCCCGCTGTCTGCGAAGCATCCCAATTGTTTGACTACAAGGTAGACTTAAACCCAGACAATCTAGGTTTTTGTCTACCTTGGGGCCTTGGGGGTCAAACAAAGTAACTCAACTTGTTGTTGCCCAAACCACGACAAAGAACCTGTTACAACGACAAAGGTCATTGTTACTGACAAAGAATCTTGTTACACCGACAAGTTTCTTGAAGACTATCCCGACAAGGCTTCTACTATACTACTACTACTACTACTATTACTACTATTACTACTACTACTACTATTACTACTACTACTACTTACTACTACTTACTACTACTACTACTACTGACTACTACTACTATTACTACTACTACTATTACTACTACTACTATTACTATTATTACTACTACTATTACTACTATTACTACTACTTATTCCTTCTTATTCCTTTCCATTGACCTTCTTATTCCTTCTTATTCCTTTCTATTGACCTTCTTATTCCTTCTTATTCCTTTCTATTCACATTCTTATTCCTTCTTATTCCTTTCTATTGGCCTTCTTATTCCTTGCTATTGACCTTCTTAGACCTTCTTATTCCTTCTTATTCCTTTCTATTGACCTTCTTATTCCTTATTGACCTTCTTATTCCTTCTTATTCCTTTCTATTGACCTTCTTATTCCTTCTTATTCCGTTCTATTGACCTTCTTATTCCTTCTTGTTCCTTTCTATTGACCTTCTTATTCCTTCTTATTCCTTTCTATTGACCTTCTTATTCCTTCTTATTCCTTCTATTGACCTTCTTATTCCTTCTTATTCTATTGACCTTCTTATTCCTTCTTATTCCTTTCTATTGACATTCTTATTCCTTCTTATTCCTTCCTATTTACCTTCTTATTCCTTCTTATTCCTTTCTATTGACCTTCTTATTCATTCTTATTCCTTTCTATTGACCTTCTTATTCCTTCTTATTCCTTTTTATTCACCTTCTTATTCCTTCTTATTCCTTTCTAACCTTCTTATTCCTTTCTATTGACCTTCTTGTTCCTTCTTATTCCTTTCTATTCACCTTCTTATTCCTTCTTATTCCTTTCTACTGACCTTCTTATTCCTTCTTATTCCTTTCTATTGACCTTCTTATTCCTTCTTATTCCTTTCTACTGACCTCTTATTCATTCTTATTCCTTTCTATTGACCTTCTTATTCCTTCTTATTCCTTCCTATTTACCTTCTTATTCCTTCTTATTCCGTTCTATTGACCTTCTTATTCCTTCTTATTCCTTTCTACTGACCTTCTTATTCCTCCTTATTCCTTTCTATTCACATTCTTATTCCTTCTTATTCCTTTCTATTGACCTTCTTATTCCTTCTTATTCCTTTCTATTCACCTTCTTATTCCTTCTTATTCCTTTCTATGACCTTCTTATTCCTTTCTATTGACCTTCTTATTCCTTCTTATTCCTTTCTAATCACCTTCTTATTCCTTCTTATTCCTTTCTATTGACCTTCTTATTCCTTCTTATTCCTTTCTATTCACCTTCTTATTCCTTCTTATTCCTTTCTATGACCTTCTTATTCCTTTCTATTGACCTTCTTATTCCTTCTTATTCCTTTCTATTGACCTTCTTATTCCTTCTTATTCCTTTCTATTGACCTTCTTATTCCTTCTTATTCCTTTCTATTGACCTTCTTATTCCTTCTTATTCCTTTCTATTCACCTTCTTATTCCTTCTTATTCCTTTCTACTGACCTTCTTATTCCTTTCTATTGACCTTCTTATTCCTTCTTATTCCTTTCTATCACCTTCTTATTCCTTCTTATTCCTTTCTATTGACCTTCTTATTCCTTCTTATTCCTTTCCATTGACCTTCTTATTCCTTCTTATTCCTTTCTATTGACCTTCTTATTCCTTCTTATTCCTTTCTATTCACATTCTTATTCCTTCTTATTCCTTTCTATTGACGTTCTTATTCCTTCTTATTCCTTTCTATTGACCTTCTTATTCCTTCTTATTCCTTTCTATTGACCTTCTTATTCCTTCTTATTCCTTCTTATTGACCTTCTTATTCCTTCTTATTCTTTTTTTTATTCACATTCTTATTCATTTCTATTGACATTCTTATTCCTTCTTATTCCTTTCTATTGACCTTCTTATTCCTTCTTATTCCTTTCTATTCACCTTCTTATTCCTTCTTATTCCTTTCTACTGACCTTCTTATTCCTTTCTATTGACCTTCTTATTCCTTCTTATTCCTTTCTATTGACCTTCTTATTCCTTCTTATTCCGTTCTATTGACCTTCTTATTCCTTCTTATTCCTTTCTATTCACCTTCTTATTCCTTCTTATTCCTTTCTATTCACATTCTTATTCCTTCTTATTCCTTTCTATTGACCTTCTTATTCCTTCTTATTCCTTCTTATTGACCTTCTCATGCCTTCTTATTCCTTTCTATTTCCCTGCTTGTCGGGATAAGCCCGCAAGAAACATGTCGCTGTAACGCTTTTTTTCTGCCGTGGTAACATTGCACCTTGTCATGGTAACAAAATCGCGTTTTTGTCGTGGTTACGACCCCCTCTCACCCCAAATTCATTGTCACAACTCTTTTAAGGCTAGTGTTAGGGCGGCACGGGGGGTTGTCGTGAGCAAGTCCTGTGATGTTGGGCCGAGTCAGTATGTGGTTGGCCACCTAGGGTGTAACCCACTAAAAGCAGGGTGAGCTCTTCTGGGCGGGCAGGTTTTTTCCGCTATGTTATTAACAACCTACAAACTTGGCGAATCGAAAACCGAAGTCGTGGGCACTTTTCTCCAAGGCAAGTGGAGCGACTTGTGCGACGAGTTGAGCAGTGAGGGGCACCCCACCATTGTGCTGAGTACCGCGGAGCGCATCTACATGACCTTGGAGCGCCGCGGCGGAGGTGAGAAAGTATCGGGTGTGTCGGTTTTTTTAGGTGACTGTTGTTTGGTTGAAGAACCTAGTTTACCTGGTTTAATTGCTTGGGGTCTCATCTGAGCACGCGATTTGGGATTCACCAGAGCACGTGACGATTCTGGTCTCACAGGAGCATGCGATCGCTCAAAGTACTGCGCCTGCCACGTAATCCAGCTCCAAAACTGCGCTCCTGCAGGTCGCTTCAAAAGCATTTGCGTCTAATTTGGCGCGGGCGCAGTTTTTGAGGCGTCGGAGCACGCAGCCGTCCATGTCTCACAGGAGCACGCGATCGCGGAAATAGTGCGCCTGCCTCAAAATACAGCTCCAAATCCCACGCGGGACCTGGCTTCAGCTGCGCTCTTGCAGGTCGCTTCACAAGCATTCGGTGCCAATTTGCTTCGCGGGCGCAGAAGCGCCTGCCACAATCCCAGCTCCAAAGCACTTGCGGGACCTGGCTTCCTTGCGGGGGTGGGGGGAGGGTGGGGGGGTGGGGGCGAGTGGGTGTGGGGGGGGTGAATGGTAAGCACACCCGCTTAAGTGCAGCGCTCCGCTCCAGTGCACCTGCTCCGGAACCTTGCTTGAACCTTTCACCTGGCCGGCGCTAGACCACCCCAAAACCTTGAATAATGCACCTGGCCTGCACCACACCGAAATCTCCGCAACCTTCCTTGAGCCTTACGCGTGACCCGCGCCAGACCACCCTGCGTGACATTAAGCATGGATGGGAGGCTTGCGTGCAACAAAAACATGCGTGGATGAGACCAAACAAATTGAATGCGCCTTCGAGCCGAAAATCGCGCGCGCCCTCGAGGCCGTGACCGAAACGTCTACCAGGCCCATCAGTTTTCCAAGAAGGATATGATTAGGATATGCATGTTTGTTTGGATTGCTTGTCTGAAGATAAGTTGCACTCCCGCCCAAACAAACATGTGTTCCCGGTTGAAGCAGGCCATCCATAGGAATCTTAATGAGGGACCGCTTGGACGGCATCTGGTGGGGATTGATGCATAGCCATGTGAGCTGTCAAACCTCCAATAGAAGGGACCATCAACAAACACTGAGCGGACTTTTTCCAAAGACACACACACACACACCTAGCAACCTGAAACGGGCACTTTCCCAAGCAGACCAAGATACACATATACAAATATACGATTTGTTTCCCGTGTCCAAGGAATGATGACAGCTGCGGCTTGGCGAAGGTGTGGTTTCACCTGGTGATGACCACGACCATGGCCACCATCATGCTCTTCATTTTCCCGCATCCTTTGGAGCACTTCTGTGTAGCAGCTGGCTTGGAGGACCAGCCTTCTTTTTTTCCTGTTATTTTTTGTTTGGGGGGGGGGGTCAGTTTCAGTCAACTCCCTGAGTTTACAGGTCTTTATAACGATATATATATATATATACAGATATACTTATATATATATATATATATATTCACTTGTATGTATGCATGCATTCGCGTATGAATGCATGTACGGATGTATGTACGCATGCATGTTTGCATCTAGTCGCAAAACATTCGACGTACGCATTGTTTAATAAATGAAAATAATATATATATATGTATATATAGATAGATATACAGAGACAGAGAGAGCAGGATGTGTCCCGTTCGGAATCCACCCCATCCCTGTTTCAGTTGTTACTTCACTTTGGGTCAAAAACCTGGGTCAGTTTTGGGGGTGACCGTTTTAGTGGCGCACAAGAAGTTTGGATACTTTCTGTTGGCCATCCAGTGAGGAAGTCCCCTCGAGTTTCTGGACTTTATGCAAGATTTGGGGGCTTCGTTGCTATTTTAGTGGATTAGAAAAAATGGTTGCTTTTTTTGGCCATTCATGGAAGAAGTGAGTCAAGGACCCAAAAGGTTGACACTTGATGCCCAGGTTCGGACAAGTAAAGATGTGTTGCTTCCTTGTGATTGTTGGTTGCTTCCCTTGAGAATGGCAACAGTGTAGCCGTAGGTGTGCGCTTGACTCAACTCCCCATAACTTCTCTGCGAGTTGGGCTTCTTTTTTGCGGCAAGACCGTTTTTGGCAAGCAAAGGGTTAGGCGCTGAGAACAACTACCGGCAAAGAGACCCTTTGTCCCAATGGGCAAGGATTAAGCTTAAACAAACGGATCCGGTTCGGGATCCTTTGACGGGGAACCAAAAGGAGGTTTCTGAAGCACTTGGTGTTTAGCAATGGCTTAAACAACGGATTGTATTGCTGAGTCCTGTGGTCGTGGCTTTAGGGCCACTTTTTGTACCAATGGAATAGCTTGGAAAGGGGACAGCTTACCAAAATTAATTCCCTAGTTGGTGGGTGATTGTTTTCCTGTTGGTTTCCGGTTAATCCAACCTGGCAATGATGACCACCCGCAAGTAAAACAGGTTGACGTGTTTGTTTTTAAAGCGGGGGGCGGGCTCGGGCTTTGCTGGCAAACAAACCACAAGGAAACACCTAGCAAATTGCCTCACGTGGAGGATGGGGCGATTTGCAACCTTGTCTTCAAGAACTTCTGCATGAGTGCGCCTTGGATACTCTGGTGAAGCTGCCCTCCGCACCTGACAGGCCTAGAGGAAATTGAGGCTGAGGCATCCGCGACAAAAGGTGGTTCTCAGCCATCCTTTCTTTGCCTTTGGTTTATGAGGTTTGTAGGTGGTTTATCCTTTCTTTGCCTTTGGTTTAGGTTTGTAGGTGGTTTCGTGGTAGTTTCCTTTGAGCCCACTAGAAGTAGTCCGACTTTTAGCAGGGGACGCTCTGTCATTCCGCAAGAAAAGCTCGGAGGCACTGGGCGCACTTGGGAAGAGTTGACGGCCTTGGGGGAAATACAAGTACCCACATGACACGAGCCAAAGACTAAGACCTGCGATATTTCTGGCTGTCTAATTTGCACACCTTGGGAACACTTGGGAACACTTGGGAACACTTCATTCCCAAACCTTTACTCGCAGTCATTCCCTGGGATTTTTTGGGAGACTTGGGGGACATTTGGGACAGGGAACACTTGAGCAAAATAAGTCCCTTGAGAACACCCTGCCTTGGGAACGCTTGGCCATCGAGGTCTTTACGGTGGACTACCTGCTGAAGCTGATCTGCTCCCCAGTTGCCCAGTGGTGCCCCTTTTGTTTCGTCACTTTTTTGGGTTGCCCAGTGGGTTGCTCCCTTTTTCGTTTTTGTTTTTTTTCTTTTCGGGGGAAGGGTTGCTTCATGTTGCTTCCTTTTTCAACTTTTATTTGGGAAGGGCTCCAATTCCTTTGAAGTCAACTTGCTTCCTTTTCCCAACTTTTTTCGGGGAAGGGCTCCGATTCCTTTAAAGTCAACCAACCAAACCCCATGGCCACTGGGCTGAGATATGGGGGCGTCCGATTCTGTTTTAGTGGGGGTGCATCACTTTTGGAGCACCCCCAAATCAACAAACAGGGCTTGATCAATCGGGGGGTCAACATTACTCACTTCCTGAGTTGATGTTCCCATGCAACTCCACTGGGCTGAGGCTCATACTGGGTGCGCCTGGAGGTGCTCGAGCCCTCCGCCACACACTTCGTGCAGGATCCGAATCCTCTGGCGAGTCGAAGCCACTCCGGGCCAGGGCTCCTCGAAGTTTGGGTCACCGAGTCCAGGAAGGGAAGCCAAAGAGGTTTTGGGGGGTGCCGGTTCTTTTGGCTACCCCCTTTTTGTTGGTGTTCTTTTTTTTTTTACAGGGTTTCTGGGCCATTTCTCTTTACAGGCAACCTCCAAAAGTGGGTTTTTTTTGAATATCACTGCGGTCATTTGGGATGTTCACCCCACCCCCATATTTTCAGGCCTTGGTAAGGCCGTTTGGAGAAACAGGAGGTGTGACTGATTTTCTTTTCTTTGGGGGGATTTTTGCTCCATGCATAGCTCCACGGAGACGGGAAAGATATGGCGACCTCACGGGTTTCCGGTGCATGCCAACAAGCAAGCAAAGCGGTCCCACTCCCCTTGCCCAAATCTGCTTTAGGCTGGGTTCAACAAACTGCAAATATGGTCGACCTTTTGATTGTCCAACTTCGGGGCATGACATTCTAAGGTTCCAACATGTTGTTCTTGTTGTTTTCCCCTCAAAAAAAGAGCTTTGCTTGTTGGTTGGTTAGGTTTGCAAAGCTAAGGTTATCGTTTTGAGAGAGTTCCCTTTGCAAGCAGAAGGTCCCTTTTTGACCTTGTTCCATTCGAAATAGTCCAAGGTTTCTTCTCCCCCTTGGATTTTGCCTGGCTTCAAAGGCAAGAATTGTCCCCTGGCTTAGGATTTGTCCAAGGTGTCTTCCGTGGATTTCCTGAAGTATATCGATGGTTGTGCCCTCCTGGGACCCCATATGGCCGAAACACATGGCCATACGGATTTTACGGGAGTTTGACCGGGGAAAAAAACCCAGCCATACGGGGTGCCAGGCTGACACTACGGGAGTGAATCACTGGAAACGGAAAGCTTCTCATTTCCATGGGCCTCCGGCCGGGTTCGATGGCAGAGCTCCAGGAGTTGGGTCAAGCCGCCCAGCAACCTTTTTGGCCGCGGAGTGGAATGGCGAGGCGATGTTCGGAGTTCGGAGTTCGGAGTTCGGAGGTCGCAGCTGTCGTAGTTCTCCCCTCGTCTTGCCTGTTTTTCCTGTTTGTGTGGCGTGGTCTTGTCTTAGATGTGGTTGTGTGCTGAGCGTTTGCGTTGTGTTCTCTTAGTTGTCCTCCACTTGCTTAAGAATATTGTTTATTTCCCTTGTTGGGTTTAAAAGGAATTCATCACTACTGGAAATATTTGCATTTTTTCCTATCGCCTTGTTAACCAAATTGAAGTTGTGTGTTTGTTGCGTTTTGTGTTGCGCTCGTTGTGTTCTGTGTTGCTGCCGGGGACACTTTTACACCTACAAAATGTGATGGGCCTTTTTTTGGGGGAGGGGGGGAAGAGCAACCCAGCATTTGAGTGGCAACCCCAGAAAGTTTTTCGAGATTTCTGATGCCAGTCGGCATCTGGAAGTGAGATTGACATTGGACCCTGTTTCTACAACCACTTGGGCGGGGGTCACTCGGGACGGGAACGACCCAAGGGAAGCCCTTGTAAAGGCGGAGGGGAGATGTCAAGTCTATATTATAGAGAGACATAGATACGACATGTATTTCTATATTAGACATACAAGGGTATGAAGCCATAGGCTGGTCTTCCATTTGTTTGGCCTTTAACAGGTACCAAGAGCATGGGGAGGGCTTTCTACCAGGGGTTCAAACCAAGGGGTTTCCTGTTCCGGCCTAGTTTGGTTCACAGGGACATCCCCACCCCCTTAAAAAGTGGAATTGGGGGAGGGGGGATTTCGAATTCTGGAAATCCATTTCTGGCAACCCATTTTCCCTTTTGGAAAGATCACTGGACTTGGGGGCTTTTCCCCCACCCCCCCCCCCCCTGTTCGGGCCAGCCGGCGGCTCGAGCTGGCCCCGGCGCAAGGGTTTGGTCCGTGGCCCAGCAGCCCAGCAACGTGGTGGACCTCCTGGCCATCATGCCCTGGTGGTGCGACTTGCTGCGCCTCGAGCGATTTATCTTCTTCCCCCGAATTAATTAGCTCTCCTTTTTATTTTGTGTTTTTGCTTTTTTTGGGGGCCCCTTGCTTTTCCACAAACCAGGCAAAAATTATTCCCCAGAAGTAGCTCCCTCTTCTCTTTTGTTTGGCTTTTTTGGGGTCCCTAGGTTTTCCACTCACCAGGCAACAAACAGATGTTGTTTTTTTGCTTTTTGGGGGTCCCTTGGCTTTTCACTCAGCTCCCTCTTTTTTTTTTTTTTGCTTTTTTGGGGTCCCTGGGTTTTCCACTCGCCAGGCAACAAAAAGATGTTGTTGTTGTTTGTTTTTGTTGCTGGGGTCCTAGTTCCAGCCTTTGTTTTCCTGTCCAACGGGTCAAGGGTCAAGGGTCAAGGACATTTTCTGGTATGGGTTTGGAAAGTATGAAATTATAGATCACTTATATAAAGAGTACATACCGCCTTGCAAGCTTATATTGGTGATATTTTTTATATATACATATATATATATATATAAACGTCCATACCTGCAAAGCCCACACCTGAACATGTTGGATATATTTTTGTCCTGGGCCTTAACCAAATGGAAGAAACCAAATGGAAGAAAGCCAAGCCATCCCCAGGGTTCAGCCAAGGTATGGGCAACTGCTGCCGGCGGCCTCGTTCCTCCGGGTCTTTCGCCTCACCCGAGTCTGCCGCATCTTCAAGTCCGCCAGCGCCTAGAGCGGCACGCTGCGACTTTTTTAGACCCTTCCCTAGGTCCCCCTAGGTGCCCTTTCTCACCCCTTTTTGGTTGGGAGGGCTCGGGACCCTACCAAAATAGACTCCAGAAAAAAGGGTACCCGTATTCTAACCTTTCTACTGGAGGACCTAGTTGCCTGTTGTTGCTTAATTAATGGCAACTGAACTGGGCTGTTTTAAACCACTTCCGCACTTAAGAATAGGTTCTTGTTTTTCCCCCTTTTGTCAATGTGTATTTTTGCAGGGCGAAAAAGCAAATGGAGGTTACCCTTACACACAAAAGATGGCACCTGTGGGATACCTGGAAGATCTGTTTCCTCTTCAGGAGGGGGATCTGCTGGAAACAAATGAGCCACAATCAAAACCTGGGTAGATGAAGGTTAGTAAGGGACAATCCCGGCCAGAAATAGCTGCGGCCGCCTTCTGAATTCTTGAAGCATGGTTCTGGGTCGACCATTTTAATATCGGGTTTTGATTATGACTCAAATGGCTTTTCCCTTGCACCAAAGGATTAGACTGTTTGCTCAGGGAATCGCGGGCTTTGGCCCTTGAGCCCCACCCATTTTGGGGGCAACATCCGGCGAAGCGGCGACTTCCGGAGGGTGATGGGGGCTTTCTTGCGGCGAGGTTTGGGGGAAAGGCCGGAACTCGGAGCTGAGTTTATTTAAGCAGCCAAGCCCCAATTGTTGGCCCCAGGAAAACCAAAAGGTGGTTGGGAGGTTTGACGTAGTTGGCGCTCAAGAGAAATTCACCTAGGGCCCAAGCACATCTCTCTAGGCGGCCTGGCACCACATATTCCACTAAGCTTGGCAGCTTTCGGCCGTTCAACCTTGGGCATGTCAGATCTAAACTGGTCTAGTGGTCTAGTGGTTTGATTGACCTCGGGAGGCTGGGAACTCCGCAAGCAGAAGCCCTGCCCTTTTGGGAGGGGATCAGATCACTTTTGGTGGATAAGATCCCGAAGATGGGATGTCCACTTAAAACCCGGAAACTCCCGAGCCCCAGTTTCGGAGCTGGCGGATGGCCTGCCATCTCCTGACAGCTGCACGAGCTGCAACCGGCTTGAGAAAAATGCTCACTTCCGATCGAGTGGATCTGCCCAAAGAAGCTCCGAACAAGAGAATGGCTCGGACTTTTGGCTTTAGCGACCTTAACAAGGAGCCATGACTGGCCCCGTTTTGGGCCGTTTTGGGGGCGACCCGTGATGTTGGCTTTGTTGGTTCTGTTTGTGGCTACTCGGCCTTGGTCGAGTTTATGTGTTAAGGCTCGCACAACTCCATGCTACTCGGAAGGGTACTGCTCCACTTCATCCAAGCAGCACTGCCACGCTTTCGGCATTGGGCGCTATTTCTTATCAAAAGTGCCCATTCGCCAGATACCGGGCGCGAAGAGAAGCTGCACTCATTTCGTGATTTACCCTATTGCAACCCCATTTGGTTTGTTGAGGCCCCCAATTCACATTGCTCATGCCGGAGCCGGCAAGAATTTGCCAAATGTAACCACAACCTGAAGCTTGACCACACTTGACAGGGCCCTCAAACTTCCCTTAAAAAAGGGATCTGGGGGTGCAATAGGTGCAATAGCCTTTTTTGCGGGTATACCCATCATTTCAACTGTTTTGCGGGTCCAGCTCGCCCACTCCTGTTGCCCAGGATATTTGGACATGTTGCAAGTGCTCGGCATGACGCTCTGCAAGAGTTTGGGCATGGTCCTCATCGTCTTCATGATGATCAGCATCTCAACTGCCTAGTGGGTTTTTCTGATGCCTCCAAATGAGTCATAATCAAAGCCCGGTATTAGAATGGTTGACCCAGAACCATGTAAGGAAATACAAAGGCGACCGCAGCTATTTCTGGCTGGGACTGTCCCTTACTAACCTTCATTTACCCGGGTTTTGAGCAAGTGGCTCAAATTGGCTGTGAATTTCAACGAACCGCTGCCAAAGTGGCTGCTGGACATGACTCCCCACCATAACCTAAACGATATCCACCAACGGGTCCCCTATGAAGATCACACCCAACGTCAGGACCTCGCAGTTGAATCTTGTTCGGCCAGTAAATTCAGCAGATCTGCTTGGGGGGGTCCTAATTTAGCATTCAGTTTAAGAGGCTTTTGGGACATCTACATGTTTAGAGGGAGGCCACCCTGATCTTAGATATCTGTTTTGGGCGTACCTTGGGGGTAGGCAAAGTATTGTGTGAAGGAGAGCTTGTGATGTAGGCGCAACTATTTGCAGGTCAGCATGAAGCTCGTGTATTGGCCTCCCGTACCAGAACGTGGCAAATCAAACATGTAACCAACAGCCACGTGCAATTGCAGGTGGCTCAAAAGTAGGGAACCCCCCCAAACCAGTGTTCTTTGTTTGGTTTCCCCCCAAAAAAAGGTACCCTCAAAAAAGGACACCTCCATTTGTTCCGGCCTTCCGACCTGACCTTCCGGCCTTTTCGAGGTCTGGTGGGCCTCATCGCCGGATGCGTCTTCGAGCAGGTCGAAGAGGGGGATGCCTTTGAGACGGTCTTGAGCGCGACCTACTGGACCTTCTCCCGTCTCATCGGTATGAAGGAGACCTATCCGATGTCCGGTGTGGGTCCCTTGACTAGGTCCCCCAGCTAGGTGCCCTTTCTCTACCGTCGGTTGGAAGGGCTCCAAACTACTAAAACAGACTACAGAAAAAAAGGTACCAAAATATTCTAAATCCTGGAGTCTCCATGACCCTTTAAAATGGGGGTCATGACTCAAAAGATTGGGGTCATGACCCAATTTTTTAAGGGTCATGGAGACTCCAGGTTTGGCTTGGTCCCCCAGCTAGCTGCCCAGTAGTGCCCTTTCTCACCGTCTTTTTTGGTTGGGAGGAAATCTCCCTGCTAAAATAGACCACAGAAAAAAGAAACGGTACCAACTTATTCTAACCTTTTTCCTGGAGGACCTAGTTGATGAACGCAATGCTGCACCGCTTTGAAACCATGGGAAACCATTGTTTGTGGGTATTTCCAGGGGAATCATCATTCCAGGATGGTTTGGTGATGCGAACCGAGTTCGCGAGATAGCGTTAGGGTTGGGGCTTGTTCCCTCTCTAGCCAGGCGGGTGCTGGTCAAGGTGCTGGTTGAGGTGCTGGTTGAGGTGCTGGTTGAGGTGCTGGTTCTCACTCCCTGAGTCCCTGGACTTTCTTGTTGGGGTTGGACCATTTTAGTGACAAAACGCCTGCCTGGGGCCATTACCCTAAATAATGCGGTCATGGACCTATAGGGTCATGGAGACTCCAGGTGGAATTGTCACTCAGGAAGTGAGGTGGGTGCTGGTCGGGCTGTTTGTCTCAAGTTCTTTTGCGCTGCTCGGATGCTGTCAGTGCTGTGCGGTGCAAAACCCCGGGGTGCTGGTCAGGGGCTTCGGGCTTTGGGGGCTTGCGTGCAGCTTGGTGCTCAAGGTGCGGCGCCCATTTTTCAACAGCAGCCAGGGTGCCAAATTGTGGGGGATCCCAGGCGAGCAACCCCGCAAAATATGCCCCTTCGGAACGACATAGTGTCCCTGAACGCCGGGAACGCGCTCGCTGAAAGAGCAACCCTAGCATGAAGCGTGGTCAGGTCACTCAACTGGATCCTTGGATATCTGCTTCAGCCAATGGCGCGCGGCGCCATTCTGTAGGCGACGTCTTGTTCTTCACAATGACCTGAATTGAATGCTCACTGCCTTTGTACGCCATGGCGAGCAACAAGTTCTGTGCTTGGACTTGTTTTAGCCAATTCCACTCAGGAAGTGAGCAAATTTGTGTGTTTCCACATAACGTCCTATTGTTTTGGTTCTATCAGTTTGTTGATTTCACCATGTTTTAGTTTGACTATGTGTTTACTGTTGATAGGTAATGGCATACTGACATGACAATGGCTCAAGAAAAACAAGCTGCTGCCCGTGCTGACTTTTAGGTAGATCCCACCTTTCAACAGGTTATCAGCCGTATCGCTGGTACCTTGTACAGTCAGCTCTCACCCGCGCCGCAATGGCGTCAAGCGGCGACGGATGCCACCCTGCCATAGCAAGGATGAACGAAGCAGTGGCCAACGAATTGATCAAGGGTGGGCATCCGGAAGGGAAACCGCCATGCAATCCGTCACAGCGCTCCCGAAGCAGTTTTCCTGAATCCGACCAAGGTGATGCGCTTGTGCCCATCACATCGGTCGTTCTTCCGGAGGATTCGATGGGAAGCGGAGGGGAACCTCTCGCCGGACATCAACCTGGGCAAGAGATGCACGCGCACATGACTAAGAATGAGACTCACCTTCATCAACATCATGTGAGCGCCCCGAACATATATCAACATAGCCAGACGGTGAATGTGGTCAACACAGGTCCGAGTACGGAGGAAGTGGCTGCCTATGCTTCGGCACGCCACGACGCCATCATCAATCAGCTCCAAGCAGGCCATGTTGAGGAAAAAGGCCGACTCTATCAGGACGCGGTGAACCACATCAATGTATGCCAACAAGAGGCAATGGCGAAAGAAAGAGAGTTTAACGAGGCAAGACAGCAGTGGGTTGCTCAACGCTCAGAAGCTGAACAGAAGTATGAACGGCTCAAATTGATTTGGGAAGTCACCCACAACAAGCAGAAGGAGGAAGCGGACAGGAACGCTGCTGAAATGAGGGAGATTATCATGAAGCAGTCGAGGGACATTGAGGCACTACGTCATGAACTGAAATCTCGCAGTGAGCAGAGTAGTTCTTCTAATGTTCCGATTTTCGGTCTGAGGCCAAAGGCCTCTCCTGTACAGACGTTTCCTCCCCCTGGCCTGGATCTTAGTTCTAAGGTACGTGTCAGGTCAGCTTCCACCGAACTCCGCCGTGACGGGCCAGGTGCCGCCGATGATCTTGACGGGGATGCCGGGGATTACGAACCGACATCTCCGGCACAGGACCTTAACGATGGTGGCGGATGTCCATCAGGCGCAGGGAATGGCCAGGGCGGAGGCGGTGGGGAACCACCTGCCGGTAACCCCGATGATGACGATGATCCTGACGACGACGATGACGATGGGAATGACGATGGGAAGAAGAGCAAGAAGGACAAGAAGAAGAAGAAGAAGGATAAAAAGAAGAAGAGCAAGAAGGACAAGAAGAAGAAGAAGAAGAGCCACAAGAAGCGAAAGAGTGGGTCTCCTTCCGACTCTCCAAGCTCTTCATCATCCAGCTCCTCAACATCATCATCCTCGTCATCATCATCGGAGAAGGCACGAGTGATCCGCAAGAAGCTCAACAAGATCTTGGGTAAGCAGGCGAGCGCAGTGGACGCAGACCATGACAAGCCCAAGGTTAAGGAGGCGGAGAGGATTGTTGTTCCATCCTTCCCACTTCCTGAGAGTTACAGGAATTGGCGCATCAAGGTGCGGGAAGCCGTATGTGCGGCATCCGACCGCCCTGATGACGCTTTCACGTGGATCAGCAGAGTGTGGGAGCCCGCCGTCACAATCGAGGAGCTCAAAGATCCCGGTGCCTTCCTCACATTGGACGCCAAGTTGCTGTCCGCCCTCACCAACATCATTCAGGGTGACCTGGCGAGACAAGTCGACACCTTCAAGGAGATAGAGGCGCAGAAGAGGAATCCAGTTCGTGGGAGACAAGTGCTTCTTATGGTGCATGAGCACCTGAGCACGAACATCAAGCACGGAGCCACCTATGCCATGGAGGATCTCCTCAACGTGAGGCTCGTGAACGATAACCTCACTTCCTTCATGCGTAGCTGGGAGGGTGTTCTTGCAGGAATGAATGCCAAGACGCCGGATGACTCCATGCTTGAGGCTCTGTTCTACAACCAGCTGAAAAAGAGCAAGCAAATGCAACACCATTTGAATGTCTATTTGAGCGCCTCGGAAGAGTCCGCCGATCACTCATACACCTACTTGATTGAATCTGTGAGGCAATACCTGTCTCGAGCAAGGCTCGAGCGCAACCGAGAACGGGTTGCTAGGCAGAACGGGGGCAGGCCAGCCGCACCCGCCGCTGAGAGCCAACGTGTGCCTAAGGGGTTTTGCATTGCATTTGTCAAGTATGGGTCGTGTCGGCGGGACAATTGCACGTACAAGCATGAACAGCCATCGGGCGATGCCAGGGGTAGGACCCCGTCAAGAGACGCTAAGCCCAAGAAGGGTAAGGGTAAAGGCCGAACGAACAGCCCAAAGGGAAAGAAAGAGTGCCGTTTCTACCCTAAGGGGAGATGTGACCGTGGTGAAAACTGCCCATTTGCTCACATCGATCCGAAGCCGGCCGTTCCAGGGTCAAGGGAGCCTTCCGCAGACAAGCAAAAGAAGCAGGGAAAGGACCGGAAGCATCGCAAATCGAGCAGGGATCGTCCAAGTCGACCTCTCGATCCACTTCCCGTGACTCCAAAGGAGAGAAGAAGAAAGGTCACAAGGGAAAGTCTTCCGGAAAGCCTTCCCCTGCTGCTGTTTGTGTGTTGGGATGCTTGTTGTCTTCCATGATGAACGCCCCTATCGCTGAGGGGAACCTCATGTCGGACTGGAAGCATATGCCTGCCCTTCCAAGTGTGCGTTTCAGCTCGAAGGTTGAAATGAATCGGATACCAGCACATGGTGAGCAGTTTAAGATCGCGGACAAACCGCGCGTGTATTCAAAGGTCTACCCAATCGACCATCAGTTTTTCCATGACGAAGTCAGCATAGATGATGCGAGACTTGGAGCAACCATGCTCGCCTTCATCGTGAGGCGTGAATTGGAAGGCCATCCGACTAGATGCGAGTATGAATGTGACAGCGAGATCGGATGCGACCAATGCGCCCCGAGAGATATGCACGCAAAGCCCGCAATGGCGAGCAAGAGATTTTCTCCGAACTGTTCATGGATTATTGACACTGGCAGTGGGACCGACCTTTTCACTCGCGCGAATTGCCCCGAATATGCAATTTATAATTCAAATGACCCCGTGATGTTGATGACTGCCAATGGACCAAGTGATTCGTCAAAGCAGGCCTACATGGCCGCAGGTGACCTTGGGAACACGGATCCATACTTATTGCCGCAAACACCCTCTGTTCTCTCCGTAGGTTTGAAGTGCATGAATCAGGGTTATGACTTCATCTGGCATGCAAAAGAGAAGCCTTTCTTTGTCAAGCCTGATGGGACGAGAATTTATCTCAAAGTTCGAGATTATGTCCCGTACTACGACGTGTGGGATAGCGACTCAGCATGTGCGTGTCCCGCCAGAGGAACACCGCCAAGCCGACCGGAAGGTCAGGTCGCCAGAAACAATTCACCTAGTGAATCATCATACTCCTCCTCCGTGCAAACCGAAGATGCCGCGGAAGAAGAGTATACGCCTAGCATTGCCCCTCTAGAAGATCCTGAGGTGCATGCTAGAGTTGTCGCCGAGCTTCTGGCGAATGACCCCGTTGAAGTCATTCCAGATGAACCTGCTGAGCCGATGGAGAGTAAAGATTTGGCAGGGGAAGATGTTGTTGGCAACCCCGATAAGAAAAGTCCTAGGTCACTTGCAGAAAGCGCCCTTAGGCAGGAAGCAGCATCACGAAAGCACCTGATGACACACCAGCCAAAGA